CCCAGCGGGATTCGAACCCTTTTCGATGGGAAAACTTGTATTTTGTGTCGGTTTGATGCCGTTTTCACAAGCTACTGCTGCCGCCTCTGCCAGAGTATTCATGATGACTTCCAACATCGAGTCATTGACTTGGTACACTCACACCATCTTGACCTTGCTATCCATTACAATAAGCTCTCATCTTACTTATATTCACATAAATTGGTTTACATACCCACTCTACATGAATACATGTACGTTTTATTTAGTTTAAAGTGAATGGTAGAAAGCATGGGTACATTGGCCTCCATTGGAATCAGATCGGATCTGATCGAATCGTTTTCGATCAGAGCGATCATCTTGAACCTTTTCGTCTTTGATGAATGCAGTCAGGACGCACCTTACGTCGTCGGCTCCGAGCGCCTCTTCTTGCTCGGTTGACGCTTGTTCTCTTTTCCAACTGTCATTAATTCGCGAAGAGGAGACATACATTTCAGCTGTCCGCCAAATAAGATGAGCCTTGATGGTATGGACTGGAGTCCCATACAGTCAAACCCGGAGTTTTGGAAGTTGGGTTCGGTTTGGTCGTTTGAGCTGATGTGCGTAGGCTCGACTGGACAGCGTTTCCAGCCTCATCCCATCGTCTCGTCATGATAATCGAGTGGGACTCGAACCCGGTTTGTGGTGGTGCAGTGGCCATTTTATCATCAATCCACGCTGCCACGAGAAAGATGCCAACTTTAAGCTGAGCCGGGCCTCTCCGTGATCACAGTTTTATCGGATTATGGGATTGTGAATGAAAGAAATCATATACAAGTTGTTTGAACTTGTTTTCGCAACTCGGTCATGTTGGTAGGAAGACTTAGAGGAACATCATCATCATTTTCAAAGTAGGATCGTGGAAGTGGTACATTCCCAGTTTCGCCATTCATAGCACCACACAACAATAACCTCATCGAATATCCAGATTTACCGACCACACAAAGCAAAGATAGACGAACGGACTAACAAAACCGCAAAATTAGCCCCAACAAACATGTTATAAAAAATAAAATGTTGTGCCACGACATGATGGAAAATTACAAATGCTTAGAGAAAAAACACACCCATAAACTGTAAGCCACGCAAACTAAACACAATAAAAAAACAATCAACAAAGCTCCCATAAGCTCTTACGACAATAACATTTTATATCTTTTTGCCCCCTCCTCCTCCACTACTCATAATGTCACCAACCATAATAAAAAGACTGCACTTAGCAATACCGTGGCACAACAATTGAATCAACCCTTGGGTTGGCTAACCCAACAGAAAAAAAACCAAACATCAAGAGATTTTTTTCTTGTTGAAAGTGCCACCAACTTCTTTAGATCACAAAAACCAATTGCAAAAAAACTTCGAAATGATCATGCATACAATGGACTCCGGACAAAGTGCGTTCCTCTAAGTCTTCCTACCAACATGACCGAGTTGCGAAAACAAGGTCAAACAACTTCTATGCAATAAAAGGCCACACCATCTTGGTCTTCATACCTTCGAAAGAAATTTGTATTTATTTTTCGTTTAGAATCACGTTTTCCCGACTACTAGCGGACAATGTATGTGAGTAGTATTCAGCCTAGTTTGTTAAAATGTTGAAGAGCCCCAGGCGAGGCCGAACCCGCAGTCTAGACCAGCTTGGATGAGGGTACCTTTTGTGAAGCAGAACAATCTGAAATTCGGTTTGTGGTAAAATCCAACTAACAGGATATTGAGTGAATACATTTCGTAAGATACTCCTGCTCATCATCTTGGTCCCAATCTCCCCATCTGCCATTCTTTAACCGGAGACCCCGAAAGTCGATGTTCGTTGTGTGCATGCGGTTGGGCAACTGCTAGTCGATGGTGTGTGTGATTCATACCCGAACTCTCTCAGGCTCTGCACTATTTGGACGGAGGGATTTGGTAGTTGATCAACGCGTCTTGCGACTCTTCCCTGACCTCTTAAATGACCTGGGCTGGTTAAAGTTTGTATTCAAAATCTACTCACTACTACTCACTAATTATGCAAGTAATGTCGTGGAATTTAATGAGAAATGGTTGTTTGCTTCATCGACAAATCGACGATTAAAATGAAATTCAGCAAAGAAATTGCTTCTCTTCAAAGTCACGCCTACTCTGTGCGCCACTGGTACTCGTGACAGTCTAACTGGGTCGTATTTACCGTTTATAAGCACAATTTCGAGATGACGTCTCGTATGCATCTCATAAAACTTGGTTGCAATTTGTCGCTAATGAATGTCGAGTTCGGTTCCCGTCGTGGGTGATGTTGAGACTGAGGCGACTCGTTGTAGGAATGACTGCCTTTGCCCATTTCGCCTAAGTAGCTCATTTATTTTGGACTAACAGCTACTAGTGATGATAACAATACAATCATTAATATTATTATTTAACATAATATATTGCCACTACTACTAGTAATAGTAGTAGTATTTTTGTCGATAATAATAGCGTCATTATTCCATTATTATTCATGTTAAAGTTCTTCTATTGTTATTATTATTAGCATCATTATGTTTAGCAATTATATGTATTATTTATAAATTA